CACATATTAATGACAGGAAAATAAACTAAAAGAAAAATGAATGATAAATTATTAAGTGAAACTGAAAACTTCGATTACAAATAAACATACATCATTGATTAATACACAAAAAAAATCAGATAAATATTTTAACATTCATGTCTATCTACAGTCATCTAATAATTTAAAAAAACACACTAAACATAAACAAAAAAAAACAAATAAAAAATAAAAATGTGTCTGTATAGTATTATTCATGTGTCTTTTTAATTTAAAATCATAATCGATTTTTAATATAAGTCGTAAGTTTCCTGTTTCTTCATTACGATTCACCGTCAATCTGAAAAACTCTATGCTAGTACAGAACTTGTTGTGTAAATTTCGAAAATGAGACTATAACAAATTTCAATTAATATGTTTAAACCAATTTTAAATCTTACTCACGAAGTTACCTGTCAAAAATGAAATATCAATTTTCTTTTTTACCTTAAAATCATTATCCAATGAAATCTCATTAACCACTCATTAGAAAATAATAGTATGGATAAAATAGATAATTCATTAAAAGTGTTTTTTATTTTGCATAACCCTACTCTCAGCAGCAGTCTCAACAATACTCGAAAATAACAAAACACTACCAATACCATCTATACCAGGAGACCTATACGTACATTTTCCAGACGGAAACAACTGGCCCGTTGCCGACAAAACAGCCGGCTCAGGCGCCGGTTTCAGTCTACAAATAACCTGTGGCGCAGCTATGGAATTTAAATCAAACATCTTTTTCACCCAAACATAGTGTTCTTTTCTTCTTGTAACTTTATTTTTTCTTGAAAGTTTATTTTACAAATAAACGAAAAAATTAAAAATCGGAAAATAATTCTTGTACTTGATCAGCTGTTAAACCTTATAGAGCACCCGTAACATCACCAAAATCACCACAGCCTTGACAGTCTTGCATTTTGTGTGTTACATCTACAACAACAACACGTCTCTTGAACATTGGATAATCATTTGGTATCCCATAATTAGAGATATATATATGTCGTGCTGGAGATACGATAGTTCTATCATCACAACATTTTTTCGACACCGTAGTTTCCTTATGATCCATAAGAGATAACAATGTATTCAAGTGCCCTTGGTACTTGAACATATCGAAATCCTCGAACCAAATGAATTCTACGTTATCGGAAAGTGTTCCAAAGAGAAAACCACTCGGTTCTCCAGCCTTCCAATACATTTTCCTCTTTAAAAAATAATCCACGACTTCGGTCTTACCACAACCAGGAGCACCTATTAGATATAAATGATTAATCTCATCATTGAGAACACCTAATATATCCCTCGTGATCTTGCAATTAACATTGGGCTCATATACCCTTCGTCGATTTGCTTCCTGTGATCGAAGGTCCTTAATGTGCTGCTCGATGATGCCGAGGGCAAATCTTGCATTTTGCCCAAGAGAACAAATGAATTCATCAACTTTGTCGACATCACGAATCGTACGATACTTGGTTCTTGCATGGTACCAGCAACGAGCAAATAACAACAGTTCACTAACACGCACGTTGTATAAAAATGGTGAACGATCTTCTTTTGACAAATAAATCAACCAAGCTTTTGGCGACTTACAGACCTAAAATGTACAAACAAAAGAAGAAGAATATAAGTGAATAAAATAGCCAATATAACGAGAAGAGAGGTAGTGCCTCACAGATAGCGCATCACTACCTAATACGAATGATTCATATATTTGCTTTGTTTTATTGAATATAATAAAAACAAATAAAATTCATACCCATCTGTATTCTTTCTTATTTTTTTATGCCATTGATAACGACGATAATGTCCGAAGCTATAGTAAATGTAACTGAATCTTATAATACATATTCTCAACCTCAATTAGCTGCAATTGATTTATCAATTTCATTTATTCATCAAGCAATTGATGCATTAGATATTAATAATTCATTATTAAATAATTTATTAATTATAGCTGATTTTGGTACATCTCATGGTGCAAAATTCAATTTATGCTATAAAATTAATAATTAATTAGTTACATGAAAAAGAAAAAAAATTTTCAAGAACCTTTAATTATTCATAATGATCTTCCAACAAATAATTGAGAAAAATTTTTTCAACTTCTTATTAATGATAATTCTTATAAAGCTGTAGCTAGTGGTCATTCATTTTATGAACAATGTTTACCTAATAATTCTCTTTCAATTGGTTATTCATCAACATCAATACATTGGTTATCAAAAAAAAACTATGCAACATTTCAAATCATTGTGTTTCTTTATATACTATTGATGATGAATTATTAGCATTTAAATCACAAGCACGTATAGATTATATGAATTTTTTCTTAAAAATCGATCATATGAATTAATACCAGATGGTATTCTTATTCTTGTTATACCTTGTCTTAATGAACAAGGACAATGTGGAAATCAAAATGCAAAAAATCTTCTTTATAAATGTACTTAAGAAATTTGTTTAACAGCAGAAGAATTATATAATTATACAATTCCATCATATATTCGTTCATATAATGAATGTGTTGATGAAAAACTTTTTAATCAATATTCATTACAATTAATAAAAGTTGAACTTCATAATAGTACAATAAATTTCTATGAACAATTACAAATTAAACAAATAACACTTGAAGAATTTGCATAAAATCGAACAGAATTTATGTGTCCTTGGTGTGAACCAATATTGAAAATAGCTCTCGAAATGAATAAACAACGTTCAAAAGAAGAAATTAATCAACTTTTAAATCAATATTGGACTATATATAATTCAAAAATAAAAGAAAAATCAGATGATTATAAATCCTATTTAAGTTATACTTATTTTATTTTTTCAAAAAGAATTTTATTCTAAATAAAATTTCATTTCTACTATATGTAGATGTAATTAATTATTTGATTTTGTTTTTCAAAATGAAAGAAAACAATCAAGACAAATATTGACGTCAATACTAACATCAATCATGTGTAAATCTTGAAATGTATGTAAAACTTATTGTAAATAAATTCTCGTATTTTTATATTTGACGACGTTTAGCTCGACTAAAGTTTCTATTTGAATTTTTTCTTTCAATAATAAAATTGACTCAATCAGGATCTATAAAGTGAATTCTGCACTATTGATTAATATATAACACTTTTAAATTTGACAAAAATACGAGACTACGCAATCACTTCGATATTTGATCTTAATATTTTTGACTTTTGTATATAAGTATTTATAACATTTAAAACTAAATACTAAAGATCAAAACGAAAAATATACTTTCGAACGGGTCCATATGAATCTTTGTTATTTGATAAACATCAATCAGTCAAAACTAATTTTGATTTGAGTGCATCAGCAAACATCATCAAATGAGATTTTAAAAATTTATTAATGATAAATATTTCAAGTATTGAATTGAAAAATGTAGTATGAGAAAATATTTTATTT